ATTTTGTGACCATTAATTCTGAATTACCCGCCAAACCCCAAAACTGCAACCAAAAAGTTGCCCAGTGGGTTTCAAGCGTGGGTCACGCTACCTGACTGAGTGGCGGGTCAATCGATCCTCACAACCAGGATAGTTACTGGGTCGTCGTTCGATGAGTCGGGCACAGCAATCACATCGCTCAAGTGTGAACACGTTTCGCCTGTTCAGACGTAAAAATCCAGATACGTCCAACGTGCGTTGGTAGAGTAGTGGTTACACACTCGCCTTACATGTCAGATATCCGAGGTTCAAATCCCCGCACGACCGTTGGATAAGCACTACTGGTGAGCTCTAATAGGAGCGAAACTCGAGTCCAGTGCTTCCTTTTGGTGTGTACTCACCGGAATAGGCGACCGAGAGTGGTGTGACCATGAACAATTCTGAAGTAATTAAGTGTGAGTTAAGTGCTCCGAATATTCTTGCTAAATCTTGTTCGGGGCACCTGATGAAACGTCTATGCTCGTTAACTGCTATGGATTTAACCTCTAGCGGCCAGCATGTAGGTTCGTTCACTGTTTTACAGCACATGATTCGTGAAAGATAACTCGTGAGTTCATCACTGGGCGTGTCTCTCCTTTTCTGATGATCCACTGTTTTGTGTACTATCCTGCAGATACCGCACAGGGAGTAAACAAAATGGGTTGCATTTTCTGCCATTTAATGGCTTTGTCTCCGATATTTTGGACTCCTTAAAAATTGGTCCCCGAACAATGGCACACGAACCGTCTAGTACACAGAACAGATGGCTACCAAAGACCTATCCAGAAGAGATGCCTAATAGACTTCTTTTTCTAGCAGGCGTGAGCAGTGGGATTTTCACCGAAGTGAATCCCGACCACCCATTTATGGCTCTAGAGAGGCGGTTTGTGTTTCACATATCAAGAATCTACTTGCAGATTATGACAGATTTGGAGTCATTTTCGAAAAGGAGTAAGTTTTATTGGCACTACATCTTTTACTTTTCTGTTGCTCACAGATGACATCATCATCATCAGCTGTAATAACCGCGTACTTGTCGTACAGTGGTTGTAGCTGCCACAGTTTCGTTCGCCGATGATTCGGATACTCCCCAGGCTTAATTAAATGTTCACAAAAAAATTCTTCAAAAATCGGAAACATCTTCGAACGGCAAGAAAGAACCAAGGTTGCCCTACTTGTGTCTGGAAATAAAGTGACAGCAAATGGCATTCACTTTGCTCCGTCTTCCTCAGATCAGGTAAGAAGGATTTGGTAATGCGATTTCCCGTTGGCTGATCTTGAGTTTACCTGAACATATAATTTCGGAGTGTCAAAATGTTCTGAAAAGCGAGTCTAAACGGCTGGTTTCCTACCCCGTAAATCAATCGTCAGCCGGTTATTTGATGAGAAAGATTAAATCAAATGGTATTCAATAATTTGGTAGCAATTCTATCGCAAAGCTTCTCTGCTGTAGAGTTTTTAACCAAAAGACCGTCATATCACTGCCAAATGCTAACCAGGAGATCAATACGCTATATAAAAAATTCAGAGGACTATGGTTGCAAGGAGATTGCAGTATTCCGAATTACTTTCACTGATTTCAGAAGTAGAATGTTCGAAATTTATAAGTAACAACAATTAAATTACATCAAACGGAACGTCGCTTGGAGGACGGGGGTGGTTTGGATACAGTTGCAGGGTATTCAGACAGTTTAACGCAACAGCTTCTGTGCACAGGATTTGGGTCTGTGCTCTTATCAGAATCACTTTACAGAAAGTTCGGTTTGTGACTGCGTGAAATTCTGGTGGAAATATCGGAACGGTTAGCCAGTGGCCCTGTCTCAGAGATAGGTTTGGCAGTCGATGACCTCCTACCTGTTGATGGCGCCGACTAGTTGAGTCTCCAGTACAATAACAAGCGATCTGCAATATGTTCCAGAATTCTTTAAAGAAGTTATTGATAAGCTCTACTCATAAAGGTTTCATCTCAACCGCAAGGGAACTTCAAAGTGGCCTGAAAGGCAGAATGAACAGACAAACTTTGTCCCTCGGGTGGTCGAGATCAGACAGAACTGACCTGTCCTGTTAGTACGGTACATAAATCGATGTTTTTTAGATATGGTCGTTCGTTGGTTGTGAGCACGTCTTCTCTCCGTCTCCTTCTTCCCGGTGACCGGCTTAGTTGGAGGGTTTGTTTGTCATGTCAGTGAATGGCGTACAACGGAGGAGTGCTAAGCACCCTGTCCCGCGGGGCTAAAGTAGGCTACACAATGGACTAGCCACCAAATGAAGTTCCAATGAAAAAGGTGCTGTGAAGCAACAACTACCCAAAAACTCATAAATAAATAGTCGAATTTGATTGGGTAACCCTGATATGTGCAAGCAATATGAGTTCCTGAGGCAGCATTTAACTATCCAGGAAAACCACACTGCATCTATCGACTCCGCTAAATTGAGGTTGACCAAAGGACACAACACAGAAAACAGGATTTATTGACAATGCTTCTGGTTCCACTCAGTTCGAAATTTGGAAGGCATTTAAGTTTTCAGCTCAAGACAAAATGAGTGTAATTTAAAATAAGTTATGAATACTTTGACCTTAAAAACCTGCTTTAAAAGAAACACGGATTCGTTTCTGGACACTGTTTACAACGAACATATTAGCGCAGTAACACAACCGAATGGTCTATTACGGTGAAGCTTTAGCAGCCCGACTTGTTTTCGGTGAGTTCAGTACGTTTTGATAGATACCATAGACACCATTTGGTTTTTCATAAGAGTACACTGAGTAAGTCAGCTCTCCTGCAGCTGTACCGTTTTTCAAACTGTTATTTTCCGCTAACGAGGGACCATGAAATCAACCTGCTTTGTAAGCGTTCTTTGAAATTACATTCTAATTTTTCTTTGGCTTCAAAATGTAATAAATAAGATGGGTCAAGCAAATGCCTGATGGATTCGGATCCAACGCACTGCAGCTCGGTAGTGGGATTAAATGAGCTCGACGTAGCTCACTGGTTGAGGCACGAACTCACTGACGAGAAAGTCGGTTGTTCGAATCAAACCTGTGCATCTTGATTGCACCTGCGTAGGCTTGGTCAGTCTGGCGGAACCTCACAGTACGTGCTTCCTACGTGTGGCATGACAACTAGGCACCAAAAGAGTGGTGCAGCTGAAAGATTTGTTTCCCGTTTTGGGGAGTTAAAACCTTCTGGACGGAAGAAATATTTGGCGACTAAATGGCTTCCTAGATCTCTCCTGTTTTGCTGTGAAATAACGACGACCGCTACGAATCATTAACAAATTTCTATCCTCAAATGCCCAGACTTACAAATACACATGAAGTAAGGACCAGGACAAAAATGCTCTGAACAGTTCTGTGAAGAAAGTGTCTATTCGTATGAGCCAAATGACCCTTCTGTTTGTTGTGAAGGTGGAAACGTGAAGCATCCTTCTGACTTACACCATCATCCGATATACCCCGGTTGGGCATTCTTGTCCATAAAAATTGTTGGAACAAGGTCATTTTCGTGACACTGTGTGCTTGGTACTTGGTGAGAATACTTAGATAGTAGCACAAACTTTCACAAGGGATCAACACGATTTACAGTCATTTTTCACTCATTGGTGATACGCTGGACTAAAGTGGCTGTTGCATTCCTCAATAATCCACCTTGGTTTATTTGCATTGCAGATTTCCTTCGGCTTTCGATAAAAAAAAGTTACGATGCACATTTGCCAATGCATTAAATAACTTCAACTGGGGTTGACAATCATGTGTGTGTGTTGTGATGAACAAACACGTTCTTTCCACCTTCGTGTGAACACGCTTGTGACAAGCACGTGGGGCGCTAACTGAACGTGTTTTCCAGTGTTATTTTGCATGTCTTGCGACGGATCAATGGTTGAGGCGTTAGCTTCTGGCCTGGAGGTATGCTGACCCTACCCAACTTGGCTTTCTCCGTCTGGGTTAAAGCTATTCAACATTATCTCTGCCCTCATGCATCGTTTTAATTGAGCAAATCGGTGCCGCGGCTAAGTGATCTGACCGAACAGCAATTGTATTTCGAATTATGCACTAATCTGCATGTCGATTTGGTTCCGACAGGGGAGCCACCTCGAAACCTGCTGAATCTCTTGTTTATGAGGTTCTCAAGCTAGGTTTCAGCTGAGTCTCCAGTCAAAACCAAATAGGTACTCAGATGAGTGTATGAGTCAAACTTTGCGCAACGTGGATTCAAATGGAACAAAAGTTTGATTAGAACTCGAGGACTGAGCTCACCTGATGTGCCTCAAGAAGAGCGAAACTGGCCTGGGTTTCTGAAGAGTTTTTAAGACAATTTCCTGAGCAGCGTATCATGTCTAAGCAATTATGTTTGTTCCAATCATCATCAGAAGAGTCAGACGGGTTTTTATCCTGGAATATTTAATATTTCTGTCAGGCTATCTGCGTATACCCTGTGAAGATGATAATTTTACGTTTGTTTAACTTGAAGCTAGGGGACTGGTGTGTAGGTTATTTGAACCGTCTACGAGGGCGCCAAGAATACGAAGGTATATCTGGATATTCAACACTGGGTTAGCTCTGGATGACAGTGTAAGGACTTGCCTTTGAGAAATAACGCAGCGGTAACACGGATCTGAGTTTTAGGCTGTGTGGAAAACGGAGGTACGGGTGACCATAAATAATATATGCGGCGATTACTCATATTTTCTAACCGCGGCACCAATATCCAAAGACCATTATTTGGAGATCGAAAAACGTTAGCAAATTTAGGATAAACCCAACTTCCGTCTGGCTATGGCAAGCGTGGCGGCCTGAGTGACGTTTCTGGTTTAGTTGGTTGTCATCAGTGCTCGTTCGTAATCTTGTGATGAAAAGGAATCTTTGTTGTCTGCTTGTATCGAAACGGACTTAAGAGTGTATGCGCAACGCACTTTTGTGTTATTGTTCCAGCCAAGGTTCGAAAACTTTTAAACTTTTTGTGTGCTACATCTCCCGAAGACTACTGTACTGGTTCATGACCTAAGATGATCACCTGACGAAGATGCAGACGCCCCTGTCTCCTGAAAGTAGGATACAGGCCATTCAGCATGATCGAAAAAAATTGTCCATTTTTAACTGCCGAACGCACGCGAAGCTACTAAAGAGAGCAGTCGAATGGTGAATATATTACCAGGCGTTACTTGAACCTCAGGAAACTAAGATTCAGTTGGTCAATACACCGGTTAGAGGCTGGCCCTTGAATGTGCTTGCAAACGTATATACATCTCCGTTTGCATACATTCGGTACAGAGTCCTGGTTCGTCGGGTGGAAGAGCTTTAGTTTCACTTAAGGCTAGGATCGGCTCTTTTGTCCGGCATCTAGTGACTGGGTGAAATTAACTGTAGCCTTCAGTTAGAGCTACAAAATCGCCTAACCTAGTTACAGGACACAGTTCACAGTATATGAGTAAAACAGCAATGGAAACTAACAACAAGTGGCAACTTTGTTACTGTGAGATTTGCAGACTGTGAAATTGTAACACAAAGCAACGCTACTGGAATGAGTGCTTGCTCCGTTCCGCATCGTTTTTTGCTTCTTCATTTTCCGGGTAAAAGTGTGAAAATTTAAAGAACATAGAAGTGAAAAAATAGAAGAGGTGCCAAACGAAACACGTACAGGCGAGGGAAGAAACAAGAAAATGAACTAAGAAGACGGGAAAACGACGCTAACACAGTAGACAACATTAGTGTAATCCGGTCACACAAGTTAAGGATGTCTTTACATGGTAGGAATCCAGAATCAAATACAGACGTCGAAGATTAGGGTCTAAAACAGTTGATGGGGAAAATGACTGCTTGTGCAAGTCATGAAGACACTATTCATCCGCATCACTTGTTATTTACTTTATTAGGCATGGAAAGAATAAACAGCGTGATTATGTAACCACGTGGAAGCACGATAAGCAGGATTAGAATAAAAGGAGAAAATCAAAATGAAGGTTCGTACCTCGAGGTTGTCGGTTTCTACTTGATTGAGTGGACGATATGCAGATTTTCTTGATACAGGCATCACATTTGGTCAACAGAACGAGTCGTCAAATCGATCGAACGTGAGCTGAAAGGCATAGTGCGTGATGCAATGTTGGCTGGCATGAAAGACGACGGCATGATCAATGGGTGTTGAGAAGTGTTGGACAGGATTAAAGCTCGGGGTCCATAGACCGGAGTCAGGTGTGCCGAGTTCATGTTGCCTCCTTGCTGATCCGGTATTATAACGGAATTGATGGCATCACGCAAGTATGGCACTTGGCACTGTGCAATGGAGCGTTGATATATGGGGACCTGACGGTTTATCCAGCAGCAGTTTGCCCCAACAGGCGTATTTGGAAAAATAACAGGGTTTTGTGAAATAACCGGCTGTTCTTGTTGTTCATTTAAGATATGTTGTCTGCTCGTAGTTTGTACTTGGCTGTTATTTGTTGCCAGTGAAAAAGGGATAGAGCATCCACTCATCGAGTGTTTGGTAACTCCTGCAGTCACTAGTTCGACCAGGCGCCTAACAGCTTGTTCATATGATGGACTGCCAGGATTTTCGTACATTTGATTCAAAGCCCACAATCTGGTTCTGATGTATTTGGTTTGTCTTCTCGCCGTGGAAAGCACCTGCCTCAGGTTTCTGAGAAATACTGGAAGCTGGAACGCAAAATAGAGCAACACAACAAAGTGTTTAACGTAGTTCGAGCTTCAGAAAGTCAATATTTGGTGGGAGACGTGAGCTACGTTAGATATATAGTAGTTTTCACCAAGACAAACTGGTAATTAGTTGCAAATTACACAGTCATCTATCGGGAGTTTTGGGCAGTAACTATACGAAAGAGAGACAAAGCCAACATACCCTATCATACCAGACAGTTATTTCAGGGTAAGAGTCTATTAGAGTTCCTTGAGTGAGAAGGGGCATTTCTAGTCACGGTGAAAGGATTGTAATAGGGCTACTGAAAGTGCACTTCTAATAGATATGCACGCTGAATACTACGTAGTAAATCTGATCATTATGTCGACTTCACTGAGGATATTCTGGTTGCTTTTACCAACAACAATAATGGAATATAGAATCCTTGCCTTACTCCGACTCTGGGCCTCCAAGTCGCGAACATTCACTCTACTGATGAAAGTTACTTTTTTATCACTTATCAGGTGTGATCTTGTTATGGCAGGGCCGACAAACTGGATAACACATTGCTACTGAATTATGTAAAAGTAGTGCGAATGTTTGGGAGAAAAGACGAAAATCTACAAGAAACTTACTGAATTATGTAGTTCAGTACAGCGGCTGTTAAGTACAGTGGACAGATCTTGAGCACATTGACGGAAACTCCGTATACTAACAAACCAATCTTCCAATGAAGAAGTGAGGCCAGTGACCAAAAGATCGGGCCGAATCCTTCGAAAATGCTGGACGATGCTAACAATCTAGAATTCGGCGAAAAAATAATCTTGAAGGTTCTAGCCAGTACAGAAGCCTCTAAAACTATGAGAAGTCAGGGTAAGATAATTCCTGGTGGCAATAAATTCGTTGAATGATTCAAACTTTATTTTGAGTATAACCACAGGTTCTCTCAAAAGACACCGCAGAGAGAACAAGCACTCTCTGTCAGCTGACTTTGAAAAGAAGTAAGTCCTCTCGTTTCACAATTTTTCCCTGTCTCTTTTGATGCCTTGACGATAGACCTATTGCTGTTGATTATGAAGACTATTATTACTGTTATGCTTTAGGTTTTGCGGCATATGTACTAACGACAACTCTTCTATGTACCCAGTCTTTGTTACTTCATAGGCTGTCATAAACTCTGATGACGTGAGCGTCTTTGTTTATTCGTGTGGTTCCAAAAGTTGATAACTTTCTGCATTCGGCCTACTGAGTATTCATGTCTCTTCAAAGAATGTGTCCAAAACATTCATTTAAGTTGACCTGTCATGAGCTACGTATATCCAATTGCAGCATACTGAGAGCAGCGTTGTTTGTCCCGCCAAATTCGAAGGGGTGGAAAACTAGAATTCAATGAAACATGGATAAGTAGAAAAATACGAAACATGCTACAGGGAGTCTGGGTGTTGTTGGTGTTGTTCGCATTCCAGGATCGGTTTTTCTTGACCATCTCGATACTTGGCCGGAGACACTGGAGTACATGGTGGCTAGCCAGTGTTCATGGTGTCTGTTTCTATCCAGATTGTCTGATTGAATTTTGGAACTGTATGCACCTCGGAGGTTTGTGATAGACTGGCTCCACAGAAGAACTTTAGTGTTTCTCTCTGGATTTGCAATCCATGGACATCCGATCTCTGGTCGCCAGCTAGAAATGATAATCAAACGGACAGTAGCGTTCTATCTATGACTGATTACCAACTCCCCTTATCAAGAGCACTGCACTTGTTCTTTCAGAAAAATATATCCGCTTATTTGAATGGCTCCCTATCTGTCACTTTATCTCTTATCACTGATCTCCCAAAGAGCATATGGAATAAAGTCTGTTGGTCCTTATTATTTTATCCAGTCCCTTTGGTTCCGGTTCCTACTTCAAGGATAAGGCATAAACATCGGGGAGAAAAAAACAAAATATCGCAGACGGTTTCCGAATTTGAAATGTGCGAAAAAGGTAGCTGCAGCCAATCTGTGCTGTTATACTTTTTGACAAGAATAAATTACAGTGCTTGAAAAGCTGGAGAAAACCCTAACTCACTTGGTTATGAGACTTTTCAAGCTTAACCGCTTCTCTTTCAAATGGGTCCTGATTTATTTGATTTTGGCTTATTGCGTTGGACATCGTTGAGTCCAGTTCAATTTTTGAAAATTGCGGGCATAACTTGAGTTCCATCTGGAAGAAGATTTAATTGACATTACCGAACAGAACTGTCGATAGCTGGTATAAGAGTGACAACTGAGGGGTTTAATGCAGACAGAAACATGGGTACAGAAACATGCTGATATATCAAGAAAATTAGGTTTTTTTTATTGAAGAACATTTGAGTAATCCGTGATAAGTTTGGTTCTCGATAAAGTGGTCCATTTGGCAGAGCATAGTGAGGTATTGGAGTTATCATCGATACCAAAAATATTAGGTGATGAAAACTCCCTCATAAAATGCTTCTAGTAAAACGATCACTTGCGCTATATATACGCAGAAGGTACATCATGGTGATTCTCCACCGAATGGAACAAGCAGACCAAAATTTGCTGATCGCCCAGGGAATTTTTACTAAAAGAGATTCGGTTCGTTTTTGCATGAACTGAAATGAAGCTTCAAATTTTTAGGTCTGATATGTACACTGAGCTACTTGTTCTGACGTTCGATCATTACTCGGCTCACTTAGCTTTTAGCGGATTGTCCTAATCTCTAAAATGTTTTGTGAAGATAAGTTTAATGTTGAAATTTGAGTAGCGTTGATTGCAACTATAACTCTGAAATATGTCGTACCCTTCTATTCTCCACTCCAGATTGACAAATTCTTCCGTTCCGTTGTTATTGTATGCCACGATCCTTTTGACAGTAATGGTCAAAACTTTTGTTGCTCGTCAATTCTCCGGCCATTCATTAACGTGTCGCTCCGGGGTCCCACAAATGCTGTCTGATTTTATGATATTTTCGTGAACTCGTAGACGGTCTCCATAACCAAGGGAAACAATCATTAATATTCTCCTTATAATCAGGCGATTATTGTTCATATAATCTCAGTCAGCTCTATATCAATATGGATAAACAGGGCTCTGTGAGGCAAACGTGGAGTGACTTCACTGTGGTTTAGTGAAGCTAAGAAGGCCTGAACAGTCCTGTCAAGATCTCAGTGTAACTCCATAATACAATATAGCAGAACTAAACCGGATACTGAGGTCACTGCGTGAAACCTTATAATATCCCTGAAGCTTTTATTGTCTCCACTTGTCCGGTCAGACCTTACGGATACTCTGATCCCTCGAATCCAACAACATCGTTTAACAATAGAAAATATATGGACGGTGAAAGCCATTGAGGTCATTATCTGTTTGTCGAGGATTCTGGTTGGGAGGAAACGAAGCAGGCCTTCAAAAACTTTACTCAAAAATTTCGTGTAATCAGAACTAATATTTACGTTGGCATGTCTGACCAAATATGGCATATCCGGTTTGCAAATTAGATCAACACAAGCCAGACTATTGCATCTTGAAAAAACGTTTGGGTCAAACTACCCCCATGTCGTATTTACTCAAGGTTGGTGGGCAGTACAGGTCGACTGTACTCAACATTTGGCACAGTCAACTAATAATTATAAAGCTGGTGTTGGTTTCTAAACTGGGAAATTTTCGCGCAGTTCTATCCACATTTTTCTGATTTCCTCAGGACCAGCTTGTCACAAAAACGTCTGTGGATGCAACAAACAGCTTCAAAAACTCCCATGTATAAATGTAGAAATTCTGCTTGTAAATACAGCAGTGTGTTACCGAGTTTTTTTTTCAATGTGCTCAATTCGCACCAGAAGACCGTGTTGCTATAAGCTTTCCCTTTAAACGGACCTTATATTTATGGAAAGAATCTTATTCTTGATGAACATGGAAGTGCATATTGTGAGCTGCTCTTGAATCGCCACCAAATGGGAGCGTTCAACAGTCAGGAATCGACCGAAATTAATGCATCACTGAGGCTCGGCACTGAATGCCAAAAACGCGTTGCTAGTTTGTCAACGCGGGAACATAACATAGCGTTAGCTGTCAGGCAACAATGTTTTGAGTACATTATAGTGGAATTTCACGAAGAACTCGAAAAAAACGTGAGAAACATATCCAAAAGTTTACTAACGCCGAATCAGCTTAGAATACTAGGCCATTCAGACTGAAACTGATGTGTGTTCAGCTTAAGGGTTGTTAGAATATGTCAAGTAATTTATTGAGATTGGTATGGAAATTGAGGCTGACGGAATGAAACATCCGGGAGCAGTCTATATGGTGCGGACAAAATCATCCAAGATTCACAGACGCCTACAGAGATAGGACCTGCCTCTTATCACACAACGGGCGCACACATTTAGGACAACGTGCACACAAAGAAGCTGAACACATTGCCAACATGTTAACATCTTCGAACCAACGAACTCAATGCCTCGCACTACAACTGACGAATAATTAACCTATAGTAAAGATTGTTATCATATAGGGTTAGGAAGTGTGCTTTCATTTTGTGATCAGGGATCATAGAGAAGTGACTAATTAGACTTACCGACTACTTAAATGTACTTTGCACCCCAATGATTGCCCAATTTGGCTATGACTAGCTAGCGTCCTAAAGAGACTTCCCCGTCAACTGCAGTTGGACCGATGAAAGCCTACTCAATGGTAGAAGGGCTAATCTAGTTGCGCAAAACCAAATGTAAAGTAAAGTACAGTACACCCGTGCCGAAGTAAACGTGAAGGAATAAGATTATTGAGCAAACACACTGAGGCCTTTTCTTGGTGGTGAACTACTCATAAAGATGCTCAAAGCTCTCCAGCTTCTCCCTGAGTTCCCGTTAATCCTCCCTTCTGTTGGATCCAAATAGGTCTTCTTCTAAGAAGTTTGAAACATTATCCACTTTATCTGTCTCACAACAGACAGGAGATATATGCTTCGATGTATTACCACTTATTTTTCTCTCTCCATTCGCAGATTTAAACATGCAGATTAAATAAATACAGTAGAGGCAGCAGTGAACAGACACTGATTAGCTTATCTCTGTATTGATTTTTGGAATTACGGAAATAAACCACTCAATGTTTTTAGTACTCTTTCTGCTATTTATTTATATGATTAGCATGTTTTACGACCGCAGCTGAAGAGTAAAAGAAATGTTCGGATATCAAAGCATCTGTCTTTTGTCATTTCTAATGGGCCTGTCGAGAGTCAAGTATCAGCCCAACCTTAGTCGAATAAAAATGAGTACAAGCAATAGGTTGTATCACATGAAACGGCTAACATCATTCGTTAGTTCCTTTCGTTTCAGCGGAAAAGGGCAGCTATCTGAGCTTGATAACAAATGGCAATTTTTCAGCTTTGGTGCAACAAGTCCGGAGCTTAATGAAAGAAAAGATGGTTGCTCCTAGTTGTCAGTGCCTGGAGGTGCATCCCCGGTTTTTTAGAATTTTGAGGACCTCTTTACTTTCGGCATCTCTTGTGGAGAATCAAGTCATCGTCAAGAACATCACTGGTGGCATCATCACTCGACTGGGTTCTGCACGTATATGAGCCTTCACATTTGTAAGAATGCATTTCAGATCCCAAAGGTGGGCAACACAGATTGGTGACGGGCCCAAGTGTTCTCTCGTACGATAAGAGTCTTATTTTTGAGCTGGCTATCCAAGCGGTATATCCAGTCAACTCAGGAGTATGTTGACAGTCTCCACTTGGTCACCTTGGATTTTGATGCCTCAAGATCGACTTAACATGTAAAGTCCCATCCAAAAGTCCTTTGAACAGAGGTATCGAGAAAACTTTCCTCCGTTTGAGGTTCTCTTTTAGTACCTCGGTTTGAGCAGTCATCCATCGAATTGTCCGGTTGGAGAGATTATCTTTGTGTCCATCGGGGTTTGTGGCAAAACAGGATGTATTTTCCTCGGTAGACGGGGATTTTTCGTTTCTGACCATCTGTTGAGTTTTATCCCCATGATCAACTGACAACTAACATTTGTGAAAACTTCAGCAGACAATATAGAGCAAATTTACTGGATACAAGCCAAGCGACATTTGTTTTTCGCCATTGTGTGATCTTGGTGGATAGTCTAAAGAATTACTTTAAAAATATATTTGTTCACGAGAAGTTAATAATTAAAAGCATGACATAAATATTACCGGTAATGAGACCACGTTTCCGGTCTTCATTATCACTCACATTCTTAATATCTTCTCTGAGAAGTTCGTGGTGCTTACAGAGCAGATCGAATCGGATCTGTATATCTTCCAAGTCCTTTGTGGAGCTAGAGTTGGGAAAGACAAACCATTTAAACGATACCCTCAGAGTTCCAAAGATAAACAAGCCTATGGAAATACCACCATTGTTAGAAACCAGAACTAGGCGGTAAATTACGGCGTGCAAAAAACCCAAAGCCATTGAATGACACATCATAAAATTTCAATACTCGCACAGAAGCACTAAATGACGCACGCCCTCTAGGATCATAGGTATAAAGGAACTCAACCTGGTTTTTCTAATAGAACATTGTCGTTTTGTGTATCAGAGAGGAATAACTGCCTTTTAGTCGGTTGTCCGTGAATGAATCAGTGCCAGCCACAATGGTATAAATTGAAGGGTCCGAAACAACCAAGTGTGGCCAACCGATATCCGTAACGTACAACACAAATAGACTGGAATGAATGGATCGTTCATCCAAACGCTAGACAGCACAATAGTGCTTACGTTAACCTCCAAGTAGCAGATATCATGTACTCTGATCTATTGGCAGTTGCCAGGGTGGTAGCAAAAAGGCTGTTGATTCTGTAGTGAAGAGTGAGTATGGTTTTGGACACCTATTGAGCATTTGATGTAACTGTCTTGTCTGGAGTTCCGTGGTGGCTTAGTTTGATAGTGGACACTGCAAAGTCAAGACACAAATTGCCGATATTCCGAAAGCAAATGTGTAAACCACATAACGTGAAAAAGTGACGAGCCGAAAGATGAGAAAGGGCTACGATGATTGTCTAACAATCAAGGTGGAAAGACGGCTTTGAATGTCTTCTTCCTTTATCTTGAGTAACAGAAGTTATAACGACTGAATCCACCTAAATATATTGTCTGATGACTAGTCTTAAAATTTCCTGGCCAGTACAGGGCACCTGAAGGCTTGAAATCGGTGGCGTGCTACTGAGAACAGTAGTGATAACACTAATCTTGGACTTCAGACTATCAAACTCACTTCCGTTCACCCGATGATGGACAGTTATTGAAAAACGCATGGCCGACTCGTTTCGGACCAACCAACTATACTTTCTAATTATCACGCCGAATTTCCGCCCCTCAATAAATTTCAAATCCTTCTACAGGAATAGAACGTTAAGACCATTCAACTAACAATATTCGTTGTGTAAGCTAGATGAGGTAAACACATTTGAATCATATATGATATACGAACGAACTGGTAGCAAGTACATCAACCTGGACCTAGGGTGGCTTATCTCGGCTTTGTTCATCTGAAGTCACTATCAGGACGAAAGCCACGGTAGATTGTTTCTCCAGGGTTGAACGAAACTCGATTTACAGCCGTGTAGCCACATCTAGGTCACATCCTCGGTGAGACCATGAACTGTTGGTGCATATGTACTCTTCAGTAAAGTTCACTGCGAAGTCTTCGGATGCGCTCTTCTTGCTTCTCTTCTAACACTTTACCGCCCCTCCTGCATTACTCCCGTAGTTTCAGTCTTCTATTAAATGTGATGGTGGTGAAAAGATTGATCACCTCACGCTCAGAGACTCCGTAAGAAATAAAAATGGTCGGCAGAGTCATATAAAAAGAAATCAGAGCGATAAAACTATTAACATATAGTAGTAATAAACAACCAGCAGTTTTGATTTAAAAACCGCCGAGTAACAGCCTGTATGACTATGAAATACTGATCACCGTTGCACGTTGGCTGCATCCGACCTGTTTGTATACGACATCCACGTGATTATTCAAGCGAGATATACAGGGCATTTGGAGTTCATATTATAGTACTTACGCCATTTCGCTTGGATGCTCAGCTTTTGTTGTATAAACCAAAAGAGGTTGCTGCGATGACAGGTCAGTGAGTTTGCGTGCTGCTTCAAAAGTACTATTAGCATTGTTGAGTGAAAAATTTCTGATATCCGTTGATTTTGATTCGTGCTCAAAGTGCAGAACTGTTGGACATATGACACCCAAATTTTGAATAAGTTTTGCTTGCTTGCTTTCATGTTCGCGTTGAATAGCGGCTTCACAAAACAAGTTAGTTGGTGGCAACTTGTACTGTGTAATCTGACTGCTGGGAGTGTTTTGGCTGAGTGTTTTTTTGGACTGAAGTGTGTAGCACGGAGAATTCGAAGCAAGCCCATAAAGGGAATGACCGGGTGAAATGGCGTTGGCTGTGACAGCTGGAAGATCATGGAGAAAGGTTTTGGCTAGCTCTCTTGTGGCACCTATGTTCGTAAATGAAGAGGGTGCTCGACATTGGAAGCAGTGTGTCATGAGATCCGGTGGACGTGATGTAGGAACTGCTGACAAAAGTACGTTTCTGTCATATACAGCACAGTTTATGTTTTCCAAGGACACTTGAGTCGAAACATTCTGCTCAATTTTTGCAGCAGGTGAGTTACCTGGAGATGACTAACAGCATACGAAATCAGATGTGTTTAACATGTTACCTTTTGGTTTGCCATAAGTGGTTCAGTCTGAACAATTTTAACTGGGGTATCTCTGGTAACTTGAAGGAAATTACTTAAGTGATATCTTCAAATTTACCAACGGTTGCATCTCCGAGCTTCAGCTCAGTATTGCGCATGGATTGAAAAGGAGTGTTTCCCTTAAAGTCTTGGACTCCAAATAGAATTATAGGGTGAAAGCGCGTACCTCGGATTATGTTACTCGCCTCCTTTTGTTGCCGTGAAACAAGTGGGTTTTCGTTATTCAAATGCATGATCATCAATTCACGTGCAAGCAAACAGTCACTAGCAGTACTAGAGGAACGCATAAATTGTTTGTTTGCAGGAACGTCACGCGTATTGTGTATCTGATGAGTGCAACAGAGATAACCCTGTGTGTTCGTAACAGCATCACAGCAAGAATCGTCAGAATGTTTCTCATCAATGGGAAGAGTATGCGGTAGACCCTGGGGGAACATATCATAGTGGTTATTGTGCAGACCAAAGTTACCAGTGAAAGGTGAGCTAATTGATTTCTCCAGACTTCTGCATTGGAGGACATTGCATTTTCTTGGCGTGTTCTACACCTGAGAAAGCTCTGTCGATAATCGCTGCAACGAAACCTACTGGTCCACATGTAACATACAGTCAACAGGATCGAACTTGCGTGATCCACTTCCACCATATAGTTTTGGACAGAGATCATTGTTTCTAGATAACGCGACAAGGAGTGGTTTGATGTGTCGAATCGGTCTACCTTAATTGTGATAACGTAGATTCAGGATGTTTAAAGACATTTTCCGGATTTGGCTTTGATATGTATTCAGGCCACATGTCCGAGGGTACGGAGGCTTCGTGCTCATTGTTTCTAATTGCCTGCATATTTCTTTGAAGAGAGCTGTGACGAGCGATGCTTTTAGAATCATCATAGTCGGGATACAGAAGCGACTCAGCCAGCGAGACACCATCCATCTGGAAGAAAACAAGACCTGTTGATCCTCTACCCTTGCTGACAAGTGTGCTAAAATTAGAGCGGATGGTGTATATGAAAATTTTCTAAACAATTTTGTGCACCAGAAACTGACACTGTTTGTATGTACAAAACACCTACGAAACGTATAAGACCAGCTCGAATATATGTCTTTTGGTCAAACTGGCGACCTTTTGAGAAAAGAATCCTGTTCGTCTCAACCCAGTTTAAGTGACTTCACTGCCCAAACGATTTATCCTGTTATTCATTTTCTAGAATTCATTATTGGCAGTATCGTACCCATCAACGCTGACGGTTGTTTAAATAAAAAGGCTCTATGCACACACCGCAATTGTTTTAGTAATTTCCATGAACCGAATGAGGATATAAATTATTGCACCCACAAAGCGTAAGGTCTTGCTCGTGGAAGTGCAATCGCTGAACACGCTAGTTGCAATCCAGGGAGGGGTAGTCGAAGTTGTGGAAAGTTTTACGTACCTCTGAAGTTGTATTAGTTCTGATTGTAGCGTGAGGGTTGAGATGAATGCAAGAATCTGTAGGGCTCGTGTCGCGTCCGCTAATTTGAGACGCCTATGGCGCCAAAGTGGTGTATCCCTGGATCTGGAGGGACGTGTTTATCAAGCTAAAATACGGGCTATTTTGTTGTACGGCCGGAGGATGTAGCCTATTCGAGAAGCGGAACTGGGACGTCTCCAGGTATTCGATAATCGTTCTCTCAGAACTATACCTCGTGTTGGTTGGTGTCGGCGAATCCGTAATGTGGCTATTAGAAAGCGCGTTTTTGGTTGTGCAACGGTACTTCCGTTAAAAAATGTGTCCAGCACCAGATGCTGCGTTGACTGGGACATGTGCTGCGTATGCCTAACCACCGGTTACCGAAGAGAGTGCTGTTTTTTACACCCAATTAACAGTGGTGTAAACATAGATGTGGCCAACCATTGACTTAGCAGACGAGTATGAAGGAGATCACGAAACGCTTGGGTGCTGTCGGCGCTACTCGCCTTCCAGGATGGGGACCGCGTGATCCTCCTTGTGCCTGGTTGGAGACACTACAAGATATGGCTGCCAACCGATGTCAGTGGCGTTCTCGTTGTCAGTTTCTATCCAGATTGCCTGAGGGTTTTCGCACCTCGAAATGATTGTGGTCAACTGGCACTAAGTCCCCTCCCCGTCCACCTTTACTCTTTTCTTTATAATAAGGCTTTCAAATAAATCATGGTTGTACGGGAGTGAATCATCGGTGTTGAACACTGATGTCATGCTTCTGGTGATGATGATGATCATCATCATCATCATACCATCCAGAAACACCTGCGACTTCTCTCCTTCATATGCAGAACGACGTCGTTTACATATTCTCTATCACCAATGTACGCGTCGTAAGCCACCTGAATACTTGAGCTTTTAAGGTCAAGTTTTCGTCATAGTATCTCGCTGATCGCGAAATTAGGTTGAAATAGAAAGCAGGTTTCCTTGTTGAAGGCCACTTTTTGTATGAAGGCTTTCGGAGAGCTTTCCATATACTCACACGTCTGGATGTCTGGGGATAAAAGTGATAAATTATGATGATAAGAATTTGGCTAATTACCTGCTAGACAAGCGTGTTAAAGAGAATAACCCAATCAATTGAGTAGAAAGCGCCTTGAAAATCAAGGAATGCTGAGATTGTGTGGCATTATTTAGCATCTGAGGGAATTTGAAGATTTGGTTAACGCAACTGCAATCAGACCAAAGTCTTATCTGCAGATCTCAGGTTCGTTTTTACAAGCCACCATAAACCGACAAAATAGAAGTGACGCCGAAAAAATTTCCTTAAGACTACGCGATAGCTAAGCTGCCTGTTATTACTACTACAAGCCCTCGTTTTGAAAATTAGAACCATCACATATTACCTTCAGATGTCCGTGACAGTCTTCTTCCCCAAGGCTGGCAAACGGATCAGACAAGAGCCAACTAACCATTCATATTTATATAAAATTACAGTGAGTGTTGTTGACCAAAGCCTTAGGCTCAGAAGCTAAAGGAATCAACATTTGGTGCATTATAATTTTTTTAAAGAACAAGTCTGCATGCATGTTTCAACCCCAAACTGGGTTGCCAGAAGACTGTGTTGGTAAGACCTGTGACCGCTGATTTACTTGGCAAGAAAGATTGCAAGTGTTGAACTTAACCCCTCTCCAGCATAGCTCAGTGGGTCTCGGAGGCACACAGATCACTACACAAGGGTAATATTTAGCATGTTTGTGAGGGCAGAGGATTTTACTTTCTTTTTAAATGACTAATCTTCCAGTCCTTGTTGAAAACCGTTTGCCCTATTTGAGGCGCTTGATCACGATTTTTCCTAAATCTACACCGGTAGAATCATCTAAGTTTTTTCTCAATGAATGGACTCCTTATCTGCTCTGGGTACTGATTTGTTGGCTACAATTTTTTTACTCTGGACCCAGACGTTGGTGGTGATCGCAAATTCTCATATCATTCCAGCATTAACAAACCCGCTTTGTGAATGGTTGTTGGAATTGTAGAGAAACTAATAATAATAATCTTTAAATGTGTACAAAATTGACCTGATACGGCACTACTAGACTTCTGGGCCAACACAAAGCAAATGGTGCACTGTTTGATGTTGAGAGCCTTTCGCAGTTGCCAAATCAATGAAACCCTCAAAAAATTGTTGTTTCACTTTATGCAAAAATGGCCAATCTCCACGACCTACGAAACATGGCTTTCCAACACCATATATTGTGCGTTAGTCACCTAACAGTTCGGAGTTTCCGATCGCATGGGTTGTTTTGGTTGCAGTAAGCACTCAGTATCTAAGGCTATCTGAGTACTGTGCAATAAATAGTTATAAACATAATGTGGAAGACATCTGTATCTAATTTTTGTTGTATAGGAAGTATAAATTAGGTCGGTGAAGTGGAGAAGAGTGCAACTGTTCTTGGTTATGAATGCAACCCAAAAGCACCATGTAATGGTATGCCTCCAATGAATACTTCAGCTTCATAGGTAACAACTGTAAATAGTCTACCCACCCATTAAATCAGGACGTTTAGATATTGTGGCCAGGGTGTGAGATAACAGAATGCTGACAGAACGCCTGAAAACCTCGGGCAAATATGTTCAAGTGGTCGGAATGTTCCTAGTATTTTAAAGCCAAGTCCTGATAGCATACGCAACGGACAATTGCTTCTTCCCACTAGCAAGGCAAATTCAATACCTAGTCGATGCTCCGTTAGACCCACATCGGTGATATTGTTTGAAAAAGCTGTAGCATTCTATGTGCAAGCAAGACCAACCATGAACTTAGTGATGAATTGGTATTTCTCACGTTCAAAATGTTTTACGTATTGATCAGTACTATGAAGTCCGTCTGGTCCCAGCAGAACTATATGCAACAAATGCCTTGAGTTCTCACTTATTGATACCTCGTGAATCAATGCCTGTTCCATAACTGAGGTTAAAAAACTGTGGATCCATGTAACAATTATAGGTCCTAACTGCTATAAAGAGGTGCTCTGTACTCACCCGCTTTTGATATATTTACTTTAATTCCTTGTCTACAAATTAATTAATCAAGAAAGTTGCCTATATTCCAGAGGTTTACAAAGCTGATAAATAAGTTTCTGGCAAGTATGGTTGGTTTGTTTCAACAGCTTTATAAGATGAAACTAACGTGTAGTTGCAGCTTATTATTAAGTCCATATCGACAGACGTATGCGGCTTCCATTCTCTGCTCAACGAATTCCAGAAGCGTTTTTTTAGATTTTCGAGCTCATTTGGACTTCAGAGGTATCAGAAATACTGCGTCTATTTCTATGAAAAACGTTCATGCATCACACGAATTTTATTTAGGGCTTATCTATCGGAAAATGTTATAGAAACACGGTCGCAGCGAAGTTAAATACGGATTACACGTATTTTATCGGCTAACAGCAATAAGAGCACAAACATGTGCAAAACGCGATACAAATTATGTGAATTTACCGAAATGTCCATTAAAAAGGCTTTTATCTGTTCACGCAACATGTTTCTGAAGAATATCTTGAAGTGCTTAAATACGCGGATATCTCCCATGTTCTGCGCTGACAATCTTATGGCAGTCAGGGTTTGAAGATGATATCTATTGGGTATCTTCTGAAGAACGGATGCTACACTATTCCATCTACCACAGAAATAATTTGCAGGGATTTGACAAAGTCCTCCGGGCATTCTACTTCAACCACAGTTAACAAACTTCGTGAGCTAAAAAGAATAACCGCCCAAAACCTCGCGTGAGTTATTGTCAAAAGATAGAAGGAACAATCGTTTGAGACTCTGACATCAACTTAAAAGAAGGAGCACCAAGGTATGCTAAGAACTGCCCTTAGGCAAAACATTTAACCCAGTCGTTAAATAATGCTTACACAGGCAAAAGGCGTCCTATACCCCTGGTAATTGATACGTTTATTATCCCAGAACCATAGAAGAAGTTTGTTGCTAAACAAC